CACATCTCTCCAGGGCATGGAAAATACTTCTATAATCTCCCTTTCCCTTCTGTTCAAACAGCCAAAGCAACTGTTCTGTTCAAAAAGTCAAAGCAACTAAGTGAGAAAAAAATACTGGAGCATACATTCATAGCTGAAATTAGGTTAGTCACTTCCAGCTCTGAAGAACAAATAATTCACCCAAATCTATTACCCAAGAAAATATGGAATCAAGCTGTGCCTCACTGAGCAGATTAAAAAGCATTTTCACTTTAAAAAAAAACAAAAACAAAAACAAAAGAAAACCACAAAAAACCCTACATTTTTGCAACAAAACAGATGAATGAAAAAGTCTTTCTCCAGGTCTGCAGAGCAGCAGGAAGCACCAAGCAAGCCTCAAGTACAGCAAAATTAAATCTAGTAGAAGTCCAGGCACAGACTGCCAAGTATTGTGTGTGGCAGGGAAAACTATGTGTTTTTTGACTTTCAGTTCAGTAGTACGTGAAAACACCTCATCATTTTTAGTAACCTCACACTGATTACCCAATTGCTTGAAATGAAAAATAGTTTTGCCAAAGGATATTAAACTCACCAACATTTGCTGAGCCTAATAGCGATGGAGTACATGGCCACAAATGTAGCAAGACCTAAGATCATAGTTTCAGACTCTTCCAGAATGGTGGGAAGCTTTACTCCTCAACAAGCATTGCAGAAATTGAAATCTCCATGAAAAGCTTTTCTAGTAATTTAGTTGCATTTTAATTCCTTAAAATTCATTACTTAATCCATGGGCTTCATTTTCCAGTAATGAAATGGGCACAAATTAAGAGGAAAATTTACTTATACAATAGTACCATTCACATTTATGATCAGAGAAGCCTTACTGTTCCTGACTAACTCCAACTAAAATCAGGTTGAATTAAACTTTTTCCATAACTGTGCTACATGCACAAATATTTCTTAAATAAATCACAGAATAGAAACATATATGTATGAGTAATTTTTTTTTAAAAAGTGACAAATGCACTGAGCCAGCAAAATTTTGAGAACAAAGACAAATATGCCTGTCTTCAACAACAGGTTAAAAAAGTAATATTATAAGAATCAGTCTACATTTTAAATGGCAAAGTAAAGTCAAACTGTCCTTAAAGCTGGAGCATTCTGGGACAATGATCACTGGGCTGTGAAAGGAATTAATGAGCTCTAACAGTACAAGTATTACTGCCCACTGCGTTATAAATGCTTCCCTCACTCCTTCCGTTTTCTCACCTACAAACAGGAGCTGGAATAAAAACAGCATGGTATTGCAAGGCTACTTGTGAGACTTTAGCATCAGAAATTATCAGACACTGTACTAGATTAAAGTATTACAGATAAAGGGTTAGACTAAAAGGCCACATATCTATGCAGATGACTTTTCACTTCAGGAAACAAGCAAACAAAATGGTTTTCATTCTTCTGTAATAGAAAATGTTGAAAGTGGATGGTGTGAGTCATGAAACATCAGTGTTCAATGTTTAAGGTCATGCCTACCACTACACTCACTTTGAACTGAGCTGAATAGATGCTAGTTTTGTAGTCAAGCAACTTAAAACACCTATGTGGACACTCTAGCATGTAAAACACTGAACATTAAGAGACTAAAGAATCCCACTGAAAATTACACAAAGGAACTTTGCTTCAGTCTAAGAAACTATAGATAGATGTTTTGGATGAGTCACTGAAAGATGTCCAGACACCACAGCCAAAAAATGATCCTGGTTAGGGAGCCCTGGAAAGTTGTTCTGGTGAGTGAACTATCAAAAGGTTCCTGATAGGGAGGTTCCAAACTATCAGGTTTCAAACTAGCACAGTTATAGATACTTCTCATAGGAAATGGCCTTTAAGATAGTTGAAGTGTAATATCTTACAAGCAAAGGACCATGAAATGAATTTTTCTAACAACCAGGTTCTCCTCTAATACAACTGTAGCATAACATGTTTTCGGAATGGTTGATTGAGATTATTGCTCACACAAACAAATAGAATAATTCTAACCAATTTTAAAAGTCAAAGTATTTGCCATCGACATTACCATTAAAAGAAGAGTTTTATGTTAACGAACCTAGAAAATTAATTTTTCTCTTTCTTCAAAAGAATTGATTAATCTTCAAAATTAAATGCAGTGGGTACACAGGAACTAACGGCCACTAGTTTCTACCTAAACAAAAATTGTTTAACACTACCTTTACTCCTTTATAGTGAACCCTGCTGATTCTTGCTTCCAGAAGGATTTTCTGCCACCAGCTTTTGTGCCCCAAGTAATTTTCATCTTTCTCACACACCATTAATAATGCTACTGCTCCAGGTATCACTAAACAATATAATTAATGGAGCCCAAGAACACTGCAACCTAGCCGTGTTGCAATGTGATTTGGGTCTATAAAGAACATGCTGAAGGCTTTGGCTGAATTGGCCAGATAACCCCAAATAATAATGCTGTGTAGGTTCAGGAAAAGGGAAAAAAAATTGCAAAAATACGCTACCTTCAACATATCCAAGCAATCAGAATATAACTGTATTAAACTGAAAATAATATGCATGTTATAATGCCGCTTCACTTATTTGTAAATATCAGTTTAAACTGCTTAGCAAAGGAAAAAAGCTTGCAAGATGGACCATAGGGAAAAAAAGACTTTAGATTATTGGCCTAAGTTCAGCAGCAGAGTTAGCAATTTATGGACTTGATTATACCTTCAAAATGAACAATAACCCAGTAACTACTGCAGTAGAAAGGTACTAAATTTTTATGATATGGGGTAATCAGGTTGGCTTCCAAAGACATAGTAGACATGCTGCAAAGAAGAAACAATTCACATTAAAATAGTCAAGTAACAAATTCCCTTCTTGAAAAGGATATTTTTCTTTATATGATGTCTTTAGCAGACTGTAGGCTGTTTCTTTAAATGAATGCTTATGACACACTTAATTTTCAGGCACACTTGGTTATAGAAACAGGCACCACAGTGTACATCATGTTTAGAAATAAATAGAGCTGTCATACTTGGATTCATATTGACATTTACATCAGACTCTTAATCTGTGTAGATTTGACAGATGGGAAAAAGTCAGCCACCCCAGATATAAATGACACTTACATATTCATAATCAACATATTTTTGGTTGTTTACTCAGTAAAGCAAAACTAGTTTATTTTTACACCTCTACTATAGCAGTAAATAGTCTGACCTTTCAGCATATTTGGAGATTATATGCCATTTTATTGCAATTATTATTTACAGGAAAAAAAAGAGGAGAAAAAATAATGGTGCTTTTCCAAGAAAAAAAATAAAGTAATATTTTTCATAGAAGAATAAAAAAAAATTATATTATTTGCTTCATGGTGTAATGGTTACTCACAGACTGTGGAATTAGCAATTTCATGTGAAATCAGTAGACTTCTCCCTTTTATTTAGTGCATGGATTGTTAATAAAAATGAAATAAAAATTAAGTACCTATGATAACACAATAAATACTCAAAGAAATGTAGTGCTGTATAATTGTTTAATGCCTACAGGATTAACTCAGTTTCTATTAAAAATATGGAAATAAAATTTTAAAATAGAACCTGAATAAAATTACATAAAATTCAAAATTTAATTAAAATTATATCAAAAACATTTTGGTCTCTAGTATGGTTTTTTCCAATTCCTTGATATTATCTAGAACTTAAAACACTTCTTACACTATCTTGTCCTGAATGTTTGTGTAATGAGTTGAGCACAGATTTGGGCATGTTTAGTTAGATGTTGAATGCATCAATGTAGATTTTTTATGAAGGCAATGAAGCCACATAAGACACAAGAAAAATCTCGGGGCATTGCATTTAACTTTCTAGACATCAATTTATATTTGTCAGCTGCATTTATTATTGCAAAAAATATTATTCTGTTCAAACATTTTAGATAGGCTTTGGATACATCATATCTTACCCTATTTTGAAAAGCCAATGCTTTAAAAAGCAAAAATAAAAGTTATCAGTATACTTAATCCTAATAAAAAGAAACCAACAAAACACCAATAAGGCAAATGTCAAGCTTTGACAAGACAATGGAGTCCCAGTTAACCTTGCATTGTCTCCAGGCCCAGCAAGAGATGCCCAAATAAAAAGTGGTCATGCAGAAGGTGCACTGCACCAAATGGAATGTGCATCATATGACTTCTTATATATTTCCATTTTTTTCCTAAATTATGCCATATTATGAACTCCCCTGGTTAGAGAGGATTATTTGCTGTAAGTTTATGCAAATTTGACCACAACTAGAGCTCCATCTTGCTGTAAGAATATAGATGTTATCATAGTAACAAAAAAGATTCAAGCATAATTAGGAGACATTACTACTAATGGGCAAACAAGATACTTATTATGTAATTTTTAATTTTTTTTAAATTGTTATTTATAAAAGTAAAATATGATGTAAAGAAAATATTTAGAGGTCTTCTAGAACATCTGTAACAGAAAACATTCCAAATCACACTAAATTATACAAACCAACCCAAAATGGAACTTTTTAGCAAAGAATATGACAAAGGGTGAAGCTGGCACTTACAGAAGTGTTCTGGCTTTGACAGCTTTGATCACTTGAATTTTGCAGAAATTGAATGACATTTCTTACCAAAAGGACCAGAGAAAGCCCTACCTGGAACATGCCAGTACAAAAGAGAATATATCCAATGACAAGAAGACATCTTTGTTGTCAGCTCTGTGACTACTCTGGTAATTTCTGTGCGGTCTTTTCACACACAGAAGGTGTGATTTTATGCTGATTTGGGTCAGGGAGAAATAGACTCAATTGCAAACAGTTTAACTGGTCATTCTTTGCTGTAGTGTGTCATATGGATCCATTCTCAGATAACTGCAGGGTAGAGATTAGGGTACCTTAACAGAATTTACTATTAAAATGGTTCAGCACACAGAGGACAAGTTCCCAACCCTTGTAAAACACCAGGAAGAGTTAACACAAGAGGGAAATCTACATTCCCTTCTTACCTTAGACACTGGGGTCCATTTAAGTGTGAGCGCATCATCGTATCTCGTAGCATACCAGTTCTGATGCAAATAAAGTAGTGACAAAACTACTTCAGAGGAATGCTGCTTTAGTTTTGAAAGATACTACTAGGACACTATAAAATATCATTAAAACACCCATGAGTACAAAACAAGTGATGTGAAAATTCATTTCAATACCTTCCCATGCATAACATGTTAGGTACTTCAGATTACATTATGCTACAGAGGTTTTTTGCAATCTTGCCCTCAGAAAATTTGAGAATACAATCCATTATTTATTACACTGCGTCTTTAGTAATAAATACAGTATATTGCTTTTAACTTCAATTGTGACTAATTCCCAGCTGATTTTATTTTCTAGCACATCAGCAAAGTACACAGACTTCTTTGACACCAATTATTAACTTATAAACTAATTCAGAAGAAGAAACCAATGTAGTATAAAAATTACTTCAATCCTCTTTTAAGAGGAATTAAGATGTAATGAAGAATGAACTTTGGAAACTCGGGAGCTTTGTTTCAAATTAATTTCAATTGAATATAAAATATTTTTATGCCTATCTAAAAGTGTCATTCTCCAGCCAAGCTTGTCCAACTTATTCTCTCCCTAAAGCTACCAATCACAAGTATAAAATAGACCCTCACATTCTCCTTTTCTTCTGAGAAATATCAATCTTTCCTTTCCAGTATCCACTTGACACCAAAAAACCTGTTTGCTTTGTTTTCCAGGAACATACCCTGCTTGCCAAACACCACCTGCCAAGTTTATGTACCTGGAAATATAATATAATATAATGCATATGTATAATGATGGAAGAGCCCTTGTGAATCATATTTAAGGAGCTATAGCAGTATGATGATGATCACACTTACTGGAAAAGGGGAATATAAACCCCATTATCAAAATGGGGCGAGAGGGGTGGGTAGGGAAAACCTGAGGACATACAAGCCAGTCAGTCTCACCTCTGTACCCAAGATCATAGAGCATATCCTCCTGGAAACTATGCTAAGCCATGTGGAAAATAACGAGGGGATTCGTGACAGCCAACATGGCTTCAATACAGGCAAATCATGCCTGACAAATCTGGTGGCCTTCTATAACGGGGTTACAGTGGTGATGAATGCGGGAAAAGTGATCGAAGCCATCTGCCTGGGTTTGTGCAAAGCATCTGATGTTGTCCCACATTATGCCATTGTCTCTAAAATGGAGAGAGATAATTTTTTATGGGTGGACTGCTTAATGGATAAGGAATTGGAGGGATGGTTGCACTCCATCAATTGTAGTCAATGGTTCAACATCCAAGTAGGGACCAGTGATGAAGGGCATTCCTCAAGGGTCAGTGTTGGGCCTGTTACTGTTTTACATTTTCATCAGTGATATGGACAGTGGGATTGAGCATACCCTCAGCAGGTTGTTCAGAAAGCCAACTGTAACCTGGGCTATGTGAAAAGTGTGACCAGTAGGTCAAGGGGGTGATTCTGACCCTGTACTCCAGTCTTGTATAACCTCACCTGGCGTTCTGTGTCCGGGCTCTGGGGTCCACATCATAAGCAGGACATGAATCTGTTGGAGAAAGTCCAGAGGAGGGTCATGAAGATTATCAGGGGGCTGGAGCACCTCTCCTATGAGGACAGGATGAGAGCGCTAAGTTTGTTCAGCCTGGAGAAGAGAAATCTCTGGAGAGGCTTTAGAGCAGCCTTCCAGTACCCAAAAGGGGCCTGCAGGAGAGCTGGAGAGAAACTTTCTGCAAGGACATGTAGGGACAGGACAAGGGGACATGGCTTTAAACTGAAGGAGGGTAGGTTTACATCAGATATTAGGAAGAAATTCTTTAGTGTGCTTATGATGAGGCACTGGAACATATTTCCCAGAGAAGCTGTGGATGCCCTATGCCTGGAAGCATTCAAGACCAAACTGTATGGGGCTTGGAACAACCTGGTCAAGTAGATAGGTGATCCTGACACAGTAGGGTGATTGGAACTAGATGATCTTTAAGGTCTTTTCCAACACAAACTATTCTGTAGTAAACTTAACTTATCAATTCCATGACCTTCACAGTGCTGCTGACTCCTAGATAGATCCAGGCTGATAATCCATTAAAGCTTCCTAACTGAATATTACAGAGGCCAAAAATTTAATTGGCTTCAAAGCAATAGACTAAGTGTAGGAGGAAATGTCTACTAGAGGCCATTAAACAATCTACACACAACCTCCACACAAATTACTAGCACAAGCCAGGGGTCCATGCTGAAAGAGGGACTATTTAACATATCCTCAGTTCTCTAAGCTCCATCACAGAGAATGACTAAACAGACCTTTGATCTGACCTAATTGTTCTTAGGTTACTTCTCACACCCAGGTATCTCTCAACACTCATCAAAACACATTACATACCTCCAGGACATATAAACAGCTTTCTCTTTACTCAGCAAACCTTCCAAACCTTATACTTCAAGAAAATACATCCATCACACCTTCACTTCTCAGAAGCAGGGCCTGAATTCAAACTTTGCACAGTCACAACATACTCTATTATTTACAGTCTAGAAGACCCTAAATTATTGCAAAAATAATGCAATGGGATGGTGAGATTTTTTTTTTTATAGAAAACGCTCTATCACTCAACCTGCCTCACTAGTACTTATTCTGCTGTTGTGCCCAGCATAATACAAGACCTGAAGGCACAAGTGAGACCACTTTTACTCCCATGCTCTGGAGTGTCATCAGTGTAATGCTGTCAATACCAAGTCATAAGCCCATTCACAACCGTGTATGAATAAAAAGGAGCTATTTCAAAGAAGGCTGCTTGTGACCTAAACTGACTGGTTAACGTTACTTTAACCACCTCCAGTCACAAAGTATAAAACTATTTGAATGCATCCTGGTTTAACCACAATTTTTCTGATATCAACCAGTTATGATTGCAAAAATCACTACATTGTTATTCCAAATAAGTTGTAGAAAAGTCATCTGGACATCCACTGTCTCTGAGCATATTAGTTACTGTTTGCATTCCTAAGTACTAGCATTTATATGCACCAGTGACGAGATAGAAATAATGAAGTTGTACCTAGACTGTTATCAACACTTGATAGATTATCTGTCTGGCCCTGCGTTCCATGTTTTAAGTGCAATTTAAAAATTTAAAAATCAGTATTACAGTACTTTGTAATGTCAGAAGGCAGAACCTTAATTTAACATTATAATTCTAGATACAATAGCTTTCCCTTGAATATGAAGTGATGTATCACTTTTCAAATCCGTATTCTATAATCATAGAGCTCTTTGTTACTGTTAAAGCCACATTTAGGTTCTGAGGCAGTAAAATGCACTAGGTACAAGAAATACATTAGAAAAGGTTTTTAAAATTAGGCTAAGAAAAATCATTGCAGCTGGAATTTGTGTAAAGAAAATTATAGGAAAGTATTCAGAAAACATTTATTACAGAAGCCTAAACAGCATAAACATTTTAATAACATATATATATTAAAACATATGTATTTTTAATTGCACTGATATTGTGATACATAACTAGCCATCCTCAGTTTTGATGGTGTCCTAGTTTAGGGCAAATCAGGAAGGAAAAGATGGGCACTTATTTCTAATTTTAAAAATATTCCTAGCAAAAAGCCTATTGAGTCTTTCTTCTGTGTGTGTCTCATTTTGTTTGCATTCTACTGCATCTCAGAGTAACAGCAATCAAAACCTGTACAAAGTTGGCAGAAAACATTTACTGTATTAAATTATCAGAAATATCATTATATCTGTCAGCAGTATTGTCTTCCTCCTTTTCCCTATGCTACAGAGGTAAACAGCTGCTTTTTCTGACAGTCAAGCTTCTAGGCTTACCTAACTCCCACTAACTCAGCAGATGAGCAGTTACAACAGCCAAAACACATTTTCATATAACCAAAATGCTTTTGTGTAATATTTCTCTCAAACGAAAATCCTAAAACAAAATTCACAGAAAAATTGGTCACTTTGCATGTAATTCCCCACCATTTCTGCTAAAGATGATAAACCGGTACATGACATCGGCTATAGCTGTATCAAGATTCACAAAATGCATCCTCATTGGCTTATGCCCTTTTTTAGTCAACATAGAAGAGTCTAAAAACATTTATCCAAATAACACACACCTCTGAGAGGTGGATTCAAGCATTTTAAAGAGGTATTAATTTGTCTTTCATGCTGAAATATAGAAAACAGAAACATTGTTCTGCTTCATTAGCTTCATTTTATTTGTAGCCCCAGCGAAATTGTTCATGGATACTTGTGTCACTCCTGGTATACCTATGTACATTTCATGGGGAAACATACCTGTATTATTTGATAATTTTGCCACACACAGGAAATATATTTTACTCCTTAAAATTCTTAATAGCAACACACATTATGCCACAAAGATAGTACAGTCCAAAGCCCACTGACAAAATGCAAGATGTGCACCTATTATAAATATTTCATATTTGTGTTCCCTTCACAGATAAGAAGTGCCTAACACCTTTGTTCTGATTAATTCTGTACCTGGTGTATGGGAAGTGGGTACAGGGGTACAATTTCACTGCAGAAAAATTAGAATTGCTCATATTGAACTGGAGTGAAAACAATCTAGGCTAGACAACAAAGGCAACAAAGCCTATTATGGAGCTGACATTTCTAAATTAGACTGTAGTGGACAAAAGCTCTTGTTAATAAAACTACAGCCAACAGCATTATCGTGTACCTTCCAGAAGAAAAAAAATAAAATATTAGGATTAAGTTTGTGCACAGACTAAACTTTCCTATTGGTACCTTGAGTAGGTCAAGAAGGAGAAGTACAGAAAGGGAGTGTGAGAACTTTGAGATCTTTAATACTTCCACTGCCTCTGCTTGTGATGTACAACATCTATTTCCTGGATAAACAGAGAAGTTATGTCCCCAGAGCCTGAATCCAGTACCTTTCATAAGCCCTAACTTCATTTTTACAAACGATAAAAGAAAATGTAATTTGCTTTCTAGCTTTACCAGTAATCCATACGTGTTCATATTGCAGACTGCAAAAGCATCTGTGAGATCAATAATAAACATCCTACTCATCATTTACTCTTCTGCTTTATTTAAAGAGAACATTCTCCAGCACACATGCCACCTTCCAGTTGAAATGATGAAATATGGATAACAGAAAAAAAAAATACGTTGCAAACAGCAAAATATATACTCTTAACAACAGGCAGGAGACCTCCCAAAATCAAGCAGCCCAATTTCTACATTTCTGAATTTAAAAAAGAATAAAGTAGGATATCAACAAGTCGCCGATATTAGGGAATATCAGATCACATCTGCCAGTGTGTTTCTCCTTAACACTCTTCCTAATCAAGAGCCTCACATACCCAGGTTCCTTCCACCCAGTTACAGGTTATTTAATCAGTCTAATTTAGTGGTGCAGTTTGATTTTTCCTGCTATCTACCTGCTTCCACTGAGTCAGTAAAGCACACTCAGAGAAGCACAGAATGGATAAGAATAGAAGGGACCATTGGTGGTCTTCTAGTCAAATCACTCTGTTCAAGCAGGACCCCTTTGAGCACATTACTCAGGATTGTGTCCAGATGGCTTTTGAATACCTCCAGTGAAGGAGAATCCTGAATATCTCCAGTGAGGGAGAATCCACAGCCTCTCTGGTCAATCTGTCCCAGAGCTCAGCCACACACACAGAAAATAACTTCTTCCTCATGTTCAGGTGGAACTTCCTGTGTAATCACTCCACCTACATCTGTAACAGTAAAGTTTATTACAGCTGACATATCTAGAGAATTTATTTACAGGAAACTAGAAAATCCCAGCTGATCATATGCAAGCTTGAATATATTTATTCGAGTTACTGGAGTAGTTACTTCTTTCACAGAGATGGTGAAAAGCACCATCCATACTGTTGCAAAAAAAGCACAGTTTTTTGCTAAATGTAAAATCCCTCAATCAGGTAAAGGAAACTCAAGGAAAACCAAGACGCACTGGAACTTCACAGAGTGGCTGCAAGTATTTTTCTCAATAATCACTAATCCCATTTTTCAGAAACAGCTAGTTGCTAAAAGGTTTTAGGGGGTTCAAATTTTTTGTTTATTTATTTGCTTTTAAGTAATCATGTAGAGCATATTTTCTTTTTGGTGTTTGTCACTTACTAAATACCCTTAAAAAATATGATGTTAAATGCTGGAGCATTTGTTGCTGCTATCTATAATACACACTGATTTACTACACTAACATTGGATAAGGTAAAAAAATAACCAAACTTTTAAAACACTGTAAACATAAAAGCTTGAATTTCTTAAATATATATCTATTGTCCTGTAGTGATTATGTATAATGTCAAATACCTCTGCACATAATTACAGAAAACACAGCACAGCCATTTTATAGACTGATATGAATAATAACTGGATTTTATGTATTTTCAAGCTACATCTAATTTGCACATTTTGCCCAAAATGCCTTTAGCTACCTTTCTTCTAAGTTCTTTACCTGATTCCTTTGGTCATTATGCTCTATGCATTCTGCTGTTATTGCTCTCATTTACCTTTTTGCTTGT